TATATATATATATATATATATATATATATATATATATATATATACCGTATTTGCTGCAAATCAAATTTTGGAGCATGTAGAAATTTGAACCTTGATGCAAAATGTTACCTACTGTCATAAGATAATAATTTGTGAGCCGGGAAGGTTTGAACATGAATAAGTCTAGGGAAGTGTCAACCATCACATGCCCATAAGTCTAAGCTGGCCTCTAGTCAAAAGTTAGGAGCAAGTTTTAATGCATGAACCCTCCACTTGAGCAAGAACCTCATGCAAAAGTCATGAATAAAAAACAGTATAAAACAAGTCATGAAAACCAACATGGTGAAATATAGAATTCAAAGTGAAGCAAGCACAAAGATAACACTGTATTCCAAAGGACTAAGATGAGACTGCAGGTGGAGTTTAGAGGAACTATACATCTTTGAAGAAAGTGAACAATTTGATACAAGTTCCACAATTTGATGAAAGTGAGCAACTTGAGGAGACTTGGAACATACAAGATGATACAAGTTCCACAATGCCAACTTATAATACTATGATCAAGGATATATTTTATCATAATGATCTTCCCAACCATGGAGGCAGCAACATCACAAGGAGAAGACCAAGCTTCGGTTTAACCAACTCTAGAAAAGAGAGGCATTGCCAACTAAAGAATGACAGTAGGGGTAGGTACACATTTAAAGAATGAAATAAGTATCAGTCAATGACTGGGAAAATGAGATCTAGGTGGATAAATTGGGAGGTAAATGACCAAAATGCACATAGCAGTAGCAAATCTGCAGCTTGTAGATGATCATCCACCTTATTGACTAATTACCTTCAAAAGCTAATATTAAAGCAAAAGAAGAGTAGGTGGATTGATTGGAAAATTTAGGTTTCTTGGAGGAATGTCCTGGGAGAAACAAGGAAAAGAATCTTAAACCTTTCTTCTTGAAATAGCAGGAAAAACTACAATACACCATATATATAAATACATCAAACAAAACTTATGATGGTGTTTGCAAGAAACAAAAATGAAAATAAAAAATAGGAACATTGTCGCTGGCCTTATATTGATCAATAAAATATGATAGTAACAAGCAAGGATTTTAATTTCGAATGATACCACCTATACCGAGTGGTACATATAAGACAGTACGTATCGATCCGTCAGCAGACCGGTATGTGGACCACCCGTTACCGGGCAATATCAACCTGGCTGCGACGAGGGAAGAAGAAGCATCGAGGGAGAATCAGGAGAACCTTGACGCTTTTCGATCAACCGCCGCCCTCCCTCGATGATCTTGATCTAGAAGGTAACAGAGAGACGACGGCTCGGCTTCTTCTTTGTCGAAGGTCGA